TCAGAAATTCTGAAGAAGGGTCTAGGCCCGAAACGTCAGCCTTCCTGCTCCCCTGATGCTGCTTGGCCTGCTGTGTTCATCCAGCTCTACACCTTGTTATCACAGTATGAGTGCAGTTCTTTTTCTTCCTATCCAGTCTTTGAGCGGTTAGTCCAACTTTAATTTTCAGGGTATGCTGTTCAGCAAAAGTACAATTTCTGACTGCAAAACTCACTGGATTCCTGGATTAAAACACAGCTCAGCAACAGTGCAAAGAACAGATCTGTCCTGCTCCCAAATTAATCAGTGATTTTAACCCATTCAAAACTCTGCTAATTGCACAAAGTTAAGATGAAGCCAATCTTTCTCTGTCTCTAACTATGCGTATATTCTTCCCTTATGCAGAGCCTTCTATGTCATTATCATTCCCATCTGTGTTAGATGTTGCATTTTTCAGTTTTTCTGTAGGGGCCTGATATGGAGCAGTGGTAATGTCCGTACTCTGACCCAGGAAACCCTGCTTCAAGTCCCAGCAACTCCAGAGATGAGTAATACCATCTCTGAATACATTGATTCGGAAAATACATACATTTTTCTCTGGTTTCTTAACATGGTTCAGTTTGTGAAATATTTTCAAGTGATTATTTCTATCCCCCTCCCATTTTATGTTAGTTGATGGTTCCCCATTAGAGATGAAGAGATTTATTTGGATTTTTCATTTCCCCAGATTTTTGTAACTTGTACTCAGGACTCTCTATTCCTTGTATCACTGCTGGTAATATGTTTCATTTCAAGAACCCAATGGATTTTGAAACCAGATGATTGTCCACTTGCTGACCACCATACCTTGAAGATGGTCAAACTTCTCAAAAGGGGTTGTACTGCTGCCTCACAGCACCACGGACCCGGGTTTGATTCCAGCCTCGGGCGACTGTCTGTGTGGAGTTTGCATATTCTCCCCATGTCTGCATGGGCTTCCTCTGGGTGCTCCAGTTTCCTCCCACAGTCCAAAGATGTGCAGGTTAGATGCATGGGAAATGCAGGGTTACCAGGGATCGGGTAGGGTTTCTGGGTCTGGGTGGAACGCTACAGAGAATTGGTGCTGACTCGATGGGGCAAATCAAAAACTGGGTGGGAAGAAAAAGATTAATGTTGATATCCTGTTTAGTGTACAGATAATGAAGTGTAGTCATGGTTGCATTGTAGGAAACGCAGCACCCAATTTGGTCACAGCAAGCTCCTTAAAATAGTGATTTGATCATTTTTGTAATTACCATGTCAGGGACAACTCATACCCTCTTCTTCAGAATCGTCATACAGGATCTTTTATATCCATTTAATGATGGGACCTCAGTTTAACATGTCATCTGCAATACTGAACCTCTGACAATGCTGCACCCCCTCAGGACTGGAGCATCAGCCTTAATGTTTGTGCTTAAGCCCTGGTGTAGAACCATATGATTCAGAAGTGAGTGCCACTAACTGAGCCACAGCTGACACCTCAGCTTATGCATAAAAGTAAGTAATGTCATGATATACAGGGAAGCGAATTGAAACAGCTATTTATAAGTAAAACCAACTAAAGACTCTGAACAATGCATAAAAATGGCAAAGGAAATAACGCTGATGAATGTATCTTCTTCCAGTGGCATTGAATAAATGGTCCTCCCCTGGTTGTTGTTACAGACATCTTAGATTTCATGTTATCTGTGGACCTCTCAGTCTCAAGTCTTTGTGATTTCTGAACCTTGTGCCATACCAATGCCCTGCCTAGTGTGTTAGCAGAATAGCCCACCTTGACTCAGGAGAACTCAATATTCATGACACCTCTCTGAATCTTCTGTGGACTGCCTCCAATGCCAGTATACCTTTCCTTAGAAAAAGTGCACTCAATGCCTTGCCCTCTGCCCTGCCAGTCTCGCTTCACCTCAGTCTCTCATTAAATTAAACAAATCAAACAAAATTAGAGCAAACGGGTGCCAAGGAGCACTGTAACAAAAATCGAATCAAAAAGGAAATTTACAAATTCAAATAAAAATGGTGTTTTGTTGGAGGGTGATGCAAGCCAAACCCCATGATTGCAGAAACCCTGAAGTGTATCAGCATTCTCCCTCCACAGGGACCAGGGGCAGACGTTATCACTGAAGAGCAGCAGGCCTTTGGGTGCGGAAACACCCTCCACAGCCCATGCCTGGTCTTGTTCATGGGCACCTTGCTCAGGCCCAGGGGCAGACCCATGTGGAGGTACTCCAATTTGCCTGACCCCTCTCTGCACTGGCTGGTCAAGTGTGGGGCTGAAGTGCAACCAAAAATCTAGTAAAAGCCTGTGTTAAAAACACAACAGAAGGAGCTGGACCTGACCACAGTCCATACAAACAGGTATCAGAGTATTCAAATTACACCACTGTTTCAGGTAATGAATTGGAGGCAAGACGGGACTTACTGAAAATATTCTATTTTACCACAAACAGAATCTAATTAGTCAGCAAACAAAATCTTGTGAAACCTTGCACCACAGAATACAGTCTCTCTGAAAGAAGACTCTTAATGAATTACAGCAGAGAGCTCCGACAGCAAAGTCACCCTGGTAAAAACCGAATAACTTCTCCAACAAAGTACAGTGAGTGGAGGATTGTAACTGGATACAATTTATGTGTAAATTCAATCCCAGTCATTGACATGAGGGAATTCCCCAGTTACTTTCATTCTGGCCATAAATATTACACGTAGACATACCATGGCTTGTGATGATGTTGACTGTATGTTATTGCCTTCATTTCTCGGCACAGAGAACGGATGGAAGCCATGGAGAAGCAGATAGCCAGTTTGACAGGATTGGTACAAAATGCACTTTTACGAGGGAATGAAGGGGAACCTGCCAGGTAAAGAGCCCCAGTCTTTTCTTTTCTTGTTCTATAAGAATACTCCCTTGTACCTGCAAAACAACAATGTGCATTTATAGAGCATCTTAAATCTAAATAGTCACTTGGTAGCACAGAGCTTGAGTATTGATGGAGAAGAGAGGCATCCCATTGGAGCTTTGTGCCACTTGCCAATCAATCAGCACCCTGTTCTGATGCTGTATAAATTGTTGTTCACTTTGAGGCTTGGCATTCTTGAAAATCTGACCTGATGAGTGCAAGATGAAAAGCTTTGCCAACCTCTCTCTTTTTTTTTCAGCAATCTTAAATATAGTAAACCATCCCACAGGAGAATTAGGTAGATACCAGAACTGAGAGGGTCCTACCTGTTAGAAAGATGAAACAGTCTGGGACTCCTTTATCCAGAAAAGCACAGTCTCGGGGATGACTTGATGGAGGCTTTTACAATTTTGATTTGGTTTGATTGGACAGAGAAGATGTTTGGGTGAGACCAGAGGTCAAATTATTGTGGAATTGGAAAGATATTGCAGATCTTTGGAAATGGGGAGGATGGGCAGAACCCAAATGCAATAAGTGTTAAATTTTGTTTGATAATACTTGTGAAGTTCCTTGGGCAGACAATTAACAAAGTGTTGTAGTTGTTCAACATTGACAAGAGATTGTGTGTTCAATTCCATTTCACAGAGCTGGCTTCATTTTTTAATTATTATATTTTTATTTTTTCTCACAGCGATAAATCTGAATCAATAAACGGGAGCTCAGGCACTGGAAGTGAGTAAATGTTCAACTATTTCCTATCTGTAAATCCACCTCTGCCCTCCTGTGACAAAAATAGTGAAGGAACTATGGAGTTTTGTGATGATCTCTCATTGATACGTCTGTATGAATGAATCTAAGCACCACCAAATCCCTCTTCCTGATTGGCTCATTCTTAACTATGTGGCCAATCACATTAGTATTGACAATCGGACTGCAAATGGAGAGATAGTGGCCATGTTGGTCCCAGGCAGTTCCTTCAGTATCTACTTCTGCCTCAGAAATATAAAGAGCCTCGGATTTCTGGCTGAATGGCCACTCCTCTCCCCTTGTGCTATTTTCTGCCTGCTCTTGTACCTCCTGCCTCCTAGGTGGCCAAGGCTCTCTGGCCGCCTCCTATGTCCGTGCCTTTTTTCCAATCCCATCTCCCCAGGCTAGTCTCTCCTGCCCAATCCTCCTGGTTTTCCAGCTAAAGGCAGCACCCTCATACTCTGGCAATATCTTCCCCCAGGTACTTGTTAATGTGAGGTGTTGACTTCCTCACCGAGCCAGTGTGTTTGATTGCAGACGTTTCGTCGCCCTGCTAGGTAACATTGTCAGTGTGCCTCCGGTGAAGTTTTAGTGTTCTGTCCCACTTGTTATTTATATGCTTCGGTTTGCTGGGGTGGTTGATATTACTTTCAGTTCTGTTTTTCAGTGGTTTGTATATCAGGTGCAGTTCAATGTGTCTGTTGATTGAGTTCCAGTTGGAATGCCAGGCCTCCAGGAATTCCTTGGCATGTCTCTGTTTGGCTCGTGCGTTTATGGATGTGTTGTCCCAGTCAAATTCGTGTCCTTCTTTGTCCATGTATATTGAGACCTGTGAGAATCGGTCGTATCTCTTGGTGGTTAGTTGGTGTTTGTGTATCCTTATTGTCAGTTTTCTTCCAGTTTGGCCTATGTAATGTTTCTCACAGTCCTTGCGTGGTATTTTGTATATTACATTAGTTTTATTGGTTGTGGGTATGGGATCCTTTACGTTCGTCAGTAGCTGTCGCAGTTGTTGGTTTGTGGGCTACCCTGATGGCTAGGGGTCTGAGTAGTCTCGTGGTCATCTCTGAAATGTCTCTGATGTACGGTAGGGTGACTAGTGTGTCTGGCTGGGTTATGTCTTCTTGTGGTCTGTCACGAAGATAACAGCAAATTGTCCTTTTTGGGTATGCATTCCTTTTAAAAACTCCGTATAAGCGCTCTTGTTCTGCTTTGTGCAGTTCTGGGTTGCTGCAATGCTAACAATAAGGATACACGAACACCAACTAGCCCCCAAGAGACACGACCAATTCTCACTGGTCTCAATACACACGGACAAAGAAGGACACAAATTCAACTGGGACAATACATCCATAATAGCAGAGCCAAACAGAGACATGCCAGGGAATTCCTGGAGGCCTGACATTCCAACCGGAACCCCATCAACAAACACATTGAACTGGTCCCGATATATAAACTATTGAAAAACAAAACTGGAACTAATGCCAACTACCCCAGCAAGCCGAGGCATATAACTAACAAGAGGGACAAAACATCAACGCTTCACTAGAGGTGCACCAACGATGTTACCTAGCAGGGTGACGAAACATTTCCAACCAAACCCACCAGCTCGGCGAGCATGTCTACAATCTGATCCACAACCAGAGCAACAAATCTTCTCGAAAACTTTAAATATTGCCAGTATCTCTGGACTTAAATAATGAATCTAGTTATCCACATAGTGAAATGATTAAGACTATGTTGTTATTTGGCTCTTTGTCCCAGTGTTCTCCCTCCTCTGAAGCCATTTTCACAGAATGCTGACTTTCAGCACAAAGATTATTCACAAAACACCAGATTCATCACATTCCTCTCTCCACCCATACAGGTAGATGTTTAGTTAAACGTCTCACTTGAAAGATAGCACCTCTAACAGTGCAGCGCTCCCCTGCACGTGTTTGAGCGTCAGCTTTGATGTTTGTGTTGAAGCCCAGGCAGAGCCTTTAGTGAAGAGCATGCCTGGGAAGTCACAATGTCAATCTTCATGTGAACTGGACACTGACTGAGTAAGGGCAAAATATTTCACCTTAAGGTATTTCATAGCCGAGGAAGCTATCTGCACTTTGCACCATGGACATTGCCAGGAACCGTGGTTAGTTTTATTCAGATATATTTTCCCTACCCTGGTGGACACAGGGATAGGCTGTGTGACACAGTGAATTGTATCTCTCCTTCAGAGCCAGGACCTCTGGCTTCAAGTTCTCCACTTTGTAGCTAGCAGATATTTTCCTAATCAACCTGTTCAGGGATGTTGCTACGTATCTCTGGAGCTTCTGGGATTCGAACACAGGTCTCCTAGCTCAAAGAGAACCAGTGATACATTTGTATCATAGTTTGTATCAGAGGTCTATTACCCACCTATGAATCCTTCCAATATACATTCTGGCACATGGTGAAAGTGGAAGAGTCTCTCAGTTAGCCACCCTTCAGGGGCAGTGGCAAACCACTGCAGTAGCTTTCCCAAAAGTGTGGCCCAATTCAGTGGAAGTCCACCTTTGTAACTGGGGACAGGAGGAAAGATGGACCAAATGAACACACAGGCTGCAGTCAGCTAATACAGCCCATGAGTGATTGATGCACAGCGAGCACACTGATTCCTGACTTCCCTGAACTGTCTCTTAACTTAAAAACTTGTAAAAATTATATTCTTGGTGCTAGAGGCCTGCAGCAGGGTAGGCTGGATCATTGATACAATCCAGATACCCTGGGGAATAATCTCATGGCAACAGCTTGTATGGGTATCAGGAAATAAAACCCAACTAGTTAATTCACATTCCTGATGATGGGAAACCTGCTCAGCTTACCTGATCTGACCTTCATGTGACCCCACTTATAACAATTTGGGTGATTTCTGAATTGCCCAAGAAAGCCATTCTGTTCTCTCAGAATCTGAAGAACAAGTGCTGAGGTTCGAAAGGAGCTCACCACCACCTTTTCCAGGCACCTAAAGGACAACCAGTAAATGTCAGCTTTGCCAGCAACATCCACATCGCGATAATGAATTAGAACAAATTTGGATAAAACAAATGATTGAGCTGTAAGGCCAAGGTGTTTGCCCAGAATATGTTAGTTAGTGTTTGCAAACCCATATCATCCACACATAATGTCAACACCTCCCCAAGCTTTACACAAACATGGTTGTAAATCACTGCCTAGTAATTAAACATTCGCACATCTCTAATATTTTAAGTAGCATTCAGTTCTAAGCAAAATGCCCTGAACAGTGTACAGCTCTGATCTCCGGAATTGTGATGGGTTTTAGTTATCCTGCTGGAATCCCTATCTCTGTTCCCCTTGCCCACGTTGTTGTTGACCCAGACGACAGCAAAATGTGCACATGATGTTTCCACAATGTCAAACTTTCATGATGAAAGCTAAGCCGATGCTTAGGGATGACTTGCCAATTGGAACACCCGACATTTCACACCCATTGGGTGGCTGAAATTTCCCTTGCAGCTTTCTCCTTGCAATGTCCTCTGTTCGCTGCCCTCTTTTGGGGCTTCTGCAAAAGCTGACTGTGATGGAGAGTTCCGCCTCACTGTACACGTCTTTCTTTGTTTGTGTTCCGGTCAGCTGTTAGCCCCTCTGTGCGTAGCACTGTGACCAGCTCAGCAGCAGCATCAACATCTATCAGCCACCCCACTGCCATTACAAGGCTCCAGATGCAGCTCCATCTCCATGACCTCCAGCAAAACGCCGGCGACCTCCGCAACCAACTCCAGCAGCTCCGTAAACTCCAGGTATCCGAGCGTCTTCCTCACAAACAATAATACAAAAGACTTGCTTTTATAAACAGCTTTTCACAATGTGCGGACATCTCAAAGTGTTTCACAGCCAAGGCAATACTTCTGAACTGTTGTCGCTTCTGTAATGTGGGGAGTGCAAAGGTTAGTAAATGCACAGCTAACTCCTATAAACAACAGGGATAATGATGAGATTAGCACCTCCTTTTGGGATGTTGATCAAGGAATAAATATGTCAGTTTAACGAGACTGATACCTAGATTAATCCCTGGAATGAGCAGATTGCTTTATGAGGAAAGGCTGGGCAGGTATCCGTGGAGTTTAGAAGAGTCAGAGGTAGTTTACTCGAAACATAAGATCCTGAAGGCATCTGATCAGATGGATGTGGAAAGGATGTTTCCTCATGTGGGAGAATTAGGGGTCACAGTTTAAACATAAGGGGTTACTCATTAATGTCAGAAATGAGGAAACGTTTTATTCTCTCAGAGGGTTGAGAGTATTTGGAATTCCCTTCCTCTAAATGCAGTGGATGCAGAATCTTTTAATTTTTTTAAGGCAGCATTAAATAGATTCTTGATGACCAAGGGGATGAAAGATTATCAGGGATGTGCAGGGATGTAGCGTTGAGGTTAAAAACCAGATCAGCCATGATCTTAATGGATGGAAGAACAGGCTTGAAGGGCCAAGTGTCTCTCTCTTACTCCCACATAACTCCCTTGATCTTCAGTGAAATAGTGTCATGGGGTTCTGTACCTGTCCAGCAGGCAGAATGAGCCTCAGTTTAACATGAGGTCAATTTCACAGCAGAAAGCTCCGAAATTGGAACAGAGTTTTAAACCACCCTCACTTCTCCTTTGATATGAATGTAATTCTGAAGTTGCCCTCGGATGTTGGTTCTGAGCCACTTGAAACAATTATTTCTGTCTCAGAATCGAAGAGAATTCTCCTATTCCTTTGCTCACTTGGTGGTCAGGATTGATTGCTGAAGCCTGAGAGGGAGGCCAAAGAGATGTACTGTCTGTGAAATTATCTCAGCCTTCTGGCTGCTGGTGTTTGGTTTTTATTTTTATTCATTAATAGGATGTGGGTATCGCTGACTAGTTTATTGCCCATCTCTAATTGCCCAGGAAGGTGGTGGTGAGCTGCCTTCTTGAACCATTGCAGATCATTTGCTGTAGGTAGACCCACAACGCTGTTCCAAGATATTGATGCGGTGATGCTGAAGGAGCGCTAATATATTCCCAAGTCAGGATGGTGAGTAGCTTCTCAGGAAACTTGTAGGTGTTGGTATATGTGTATCAGGTATCTGCTGCCCTTCTCCTCAGTGGTAGAGGCTGTGGCTTTGCAAAGTGTTGTCTAACGAGTGTTGGTGAGTTGCCGCAATGCATCTTGTCGATGGTACACACTGTCAACACTATGCAAAGGTTGCAGAGGCAGTTTAACTTCAAGGTGGCGCCAATCAAGCAGGTTACTTTATCCTGGTATCAAGCTTCTTGACTGTTGTTGGAGCTGCATTCATCCAGGAAAAATGGACAATTTTCCACCACACTCCTGACTTATGCCTTGTCAAGATGAGAGATGAGTTACTCACTGCACCATGACTATAGATTTTATCTGATCACTTGAATGTCTGAGACTGAAAAATAAAAAGTTTCTTGCTCTGTTAAAGGAATTATCATTTTGCAGGCATGGTATTGACTTATAGAAGCATCAGTCTTGGCTGCTGGACATTAACCTGTGTGTCAAGCTAACATTAGCACTGAAAGAATGCAATAATAGGTTGAAACCATCCAGGAGATAGAGCGTATGTATCATTTTCCATTTCTTTTTCCCGAATTTCCATAATGGAATGGATGGGGAATTATTCCAATTCTAGGGATGGTGGCACAGAAACCTGGACTGTTGCTGCCTTGGGATGGGAAATGGGAATTGGGGTTGTTTCCAGATCCTGAATGTGCTCATGGGTGAAACAGCAATCATTTGGTGTTTTCATGGTGGTACTGTCTGAATTGGCAGGTACCTTGCCCAATTAAAGGGGGCGGGCAAGGTCACAATGTGAGAGTGTCAATCAGGAGCCTTCTGCTTTGTGAGGTGGAGTTGTAAGCAGTGAAGGGGACTGCAAAGTGGAGCCAAAGTAAAGGCCTTGAGTCATACAGCACTGAAACAGACCCTTCAGTCCAATGTTTCCATGCTGGCAAGTTTTCCCAAACTAAACTAATACCATTTGCCTGCATTCGGCCCATATCCCTCCAAACCTTTCCCATTCATGTACCTGTCCAAATGTCTTTTTAAATGTTGTAACTGTACATGCTTCTACCACTTCCTCAGGCTGTCCGTTCCACACATGAACCACCATTTGTGTGAAAAAGTTGCTCCTCAGGTCCCTTGTAAACCTTTTTCCTCTCACCTTAAAAATATGTCCTCTAGCTTTGAACTCCTCCACCCCAGGGAAAAGACCTTTGCTATTCACCCTATTTATGCCCCTCCTGATTTTATAAACCTCTATAAGGTCACCTCTCAGCCTCCTATGCTCCAGGAGAAAAAGTCCCAGCCTATTCAGCCTCTCCTTATTAACTCAAACGCTCCATTACCAGCAACATCCTGGTAAATCTTTTCTGAACCCTCTCCAATATAACAATATCGTTCCTGTAGCAGGGTGACCAGAATTGTACACAGTACTCCAAAAATGGCCTCACCAATATCCTGTACAACCGCAACATGTATACTCAATGGTCTGAGCAATGAAGGCAAGCATGCTAAATGCCTTCTTAACCACCCTGTCTGCCTGTGACACAAATTTCAAAGAACTATGTACCTGAACCCCTAGGTCTCACTGTTCGACAACATTAACCAGGGCCTTACCATCAGTTGTATAAGTCCTGCCCTTGTTTGTTTTACCAAAATACAATACCTTTTATTTATCCAAATTAAACTCTATCTGCCACTCCTCAGTCCGTTGGCCCAACTGATCAAGATCCTTTTGTAATCTTAGATAACCTTCTTTGCTGTCCACTATACCGACAATTTCGGTGTCACTTGCAAACTTACTAACCATGCCTCCTAAAGTCTCATCCAAATTGTTTGAATAATTGACAAATAACAGTGGACCTAGTACCGATCCCTGTGGAATAGCACTGGTTATAGACCTCCAGTCCAAAAAACAACCCTCCACCAACACTCTCTGTCTCTTAACCAATTGTTTCAAACTTTAAATAAAAACAGCATTAGAAGCCAGGCCAACAGTGTGAGCAGGGGTTTGGAGTGTGGAGGAATGGGTAATCCCTCACCTTGGCTTCATTACAGCCAGACAGGCAGGGAGAGCCGGTATACCTGCCGTGGATGTGGAATCACTGGCCTATCAATGTGGATGCACAGTTCTGAAGAAGAGTCATACTGGACGGGAAACATTAACTCTTGTTTCTCTCTCCACAGGGGTTGCCAAACCTGCTGAGTTTCTCCAACACTCTCTGTATTTGTTTCAGATTTCCAGCATCCACAGTATTTTGGTTTTATTCAAGAAACTGGGACACCTTCCTTTGTGGATAGAGTTTATTTACTACTCAATCTTCCAGCTCCTTCTAAAACCAAACCCCTCCCCCCACCCCCCACCCCCACTCTCTCAATGTTACAGGTGTTCCCATTAACACGGGGTGCTGATTGGATTTATGACCCTTGCCTCAGCCTTCTCATTTCTAAAGAAGATACTCACTGTCTGTTTCGTCCTTGCTGATGGAACCTTGCATTTCTGGTTTTGATATATTGTGCGTTAACCTCTCTAACAGGTCCAAAGCCAAGACACCATGAAGAACATGATGAAACGTTTGGAGTCCGAGATAAGTATCAGGGTGACAGAAACTCTGAGGAAGCAGGAGGACCCTCTCCATCGCCAGCGTGCTCTGGTAGAGGAGGAGAGACAGAAGTATCTGAATGATGAAGAGATGATTGTACAGCAGCTGAAGTAAGTTGAAAGTTATTTGCAAAGCCAAATAGCTGTGTGGACTAACAGCAGATTGTACGAACTATAACTTGAAAGGGTGAAGCATTGAGCTCAGTGACACTTCAATAACATTAACATGACTGGATTGTCATTAAAACCCATTTGGTTTGCTAATCTCTCAGAATCTGTCGTCCAAATGGAAGGATGATCCTGCAGGTCTCATTGACTTGTCTTTCTGAATTCTGAATAGGCAACCCTTACCTTGATACATTCACAAGGTATGAGAATTGCTGGCTGAGCCGGCATTTGTTACCCAATTCCTAACTGCCTTCTTAGCCAAAACGGAAGGGTTTCCTTGGCCATTTCAGAGATCAGCTAAGATTTTTCTCAGAGGGAATGTGGGAGTTGCTGTCCAAGCCAGCATTAGTGTCCTTCTGTAATTAGCCTTGAGAAGCTGAGGGTGAGCTACCTTCCTCAACTTTGCAACCTACGTGGTAATAGACTTTCTGGTTAAGAATCAATTAGTTTGGAGTCATATTTAGGTCAGACATTTAGGGTAAGGGATGGTAGATTTCACCTGACAGCTTGACCCAAATTTCTGATGTGTTCTTTCGAGGTAGAACGTGAATGGAAGGCTGAGGATTTTAATGAATTTTGAGGTTTTGGGTTAGAATTAACTGTGCAGAAGCTGACAAAGACACAGTTTAAATTGTAGTGCAGTCATAACGGTGTGATGAAAGGTATAACATTTAAATATATCCATATCAATTCTGGATTTTTCATTTCAAAACAGAGGCCAATGGGTGTGGGTTACTTCTGTGAAAATTTTTTATAAAAACAAGTTTGGAGAGTCCTTCTGAAACACTGTCCTAAATTCAGTATTTGTCAAAAAACTGCAGATCCCTGTGGTTTTCATGGAAGAATGGTTATACTTTTGGGTTTAGGTAGGGTGTCGTTGTAAGGCCAATAGCTTTATATTAGCAGAATCTGAAATTGAGCAAGTTTTTTGTCTTAAAATTCGTGTCAGAAATCATCAAAGTTGACTTCAGAAGCATGTTTCGTTTCTCCCCCAGGAGTTTAGCGCAGTTTCAGGGAACTAGTCACCCCAACCAAAGGGTTTAGTCAGAAAACTGTAGATTATTAGAACTGAGAAGCTTATAAGATCACAAATTTGCAAACAAACACATGTCAGCAGAAAGAATTCATTTCCTCCACAGTCCATGGCACAGAAACTTAAGCAGTCAGTTAAATAATAACTTAGAGTTGAGATTGCAGTGCAATTTCCTCTGGACTTGAGTCTCTGTAATGGATAATGTTGAGAAACAGGTCATAAGTTTGTTTTGTTGTATATTTTAGGATAATTTAACAGTTATATAGCTTAGTTTTGTCATTTTCCTCTGTGTAATTAATGTCCATAATGTTATCAAGGAAAACCTGCAGCTTCATGTGAGTATGTTTCAGTGACTGACCACCGTGTTAACTAACTAAACAAAAAAAAAACCATATGATCTATCAAGCCAGATTTTGTTCTGACTTGTCCATGAATAACATCAGCTAAGATCGATAAGTACTTGGAACTAAAGAGGAACAGAAGAGAAGCACTGCACTGTCTGATTTATTGACAATCAATGGCATTTAGTAATCATGGTAGTAAATGAATAGTCTGAAAGGCTGCTAACTAAACACACAATGGATATCCTGTGTCTCTCGAGTCTTTGCTCTTACATTTTGAACATGAAATTAGAAGGATTCCTAATGCAAACAGAAGGAGATCATTCGAATGAAACTCTTGGGAAAATTCCTGGTGTGATGAATCCCAGTTTGAAACAACAACAACTTGCATTTATGCAGCACCTTTGACATAGTAGGTTATGTCTATAAGGATATTGTTCTGTTGGTAATGCATCCCGACATTAACATCATCTATAATCAATAAGGTTTTCTTGGCTTATACACACAAGTTGTTTCCTGACCCTAAAAAAACTTCTGTAAATCATTTTGATAGTTTTGTGGATGATACTGTAATTTTTCAACCAACCTTTTAAGCATCTGCAATTGCTCTGATATTTTCATTTCACTTGCTGTTACTTTCACTATTGTAAATGCTGTTTTCTTCTGACAATCCTCCTTGTCATAATCTCTCTTTAACATTTTAACAAGTCACACTGGTGATTTTTTTCTCCTGTCTGGAGTACTCACCACATGAAGCACATCATTGACTTTCTTCTTGTTTGGTTAGATCCGGCATTTGAAACCACAAATCCAATACTACTTTTTTGTCTCCTAAAAGTTCTGCAAATATCTGATCAGATTTCTTTCTCAAAGTCCAAGCCTTTAATTGATAAGCTTCATAAATAAGCTCATCAGCTTCGTGTATTACATTTTAACAGTTTCATAGTCGACAGATTACCCTTCTGACTAACTGATGTACACATTCATAGCAGTGTCTGTCCAAACACTTTCAAAGCTGAAGGACCATATGACTTTTAGAGATAGTAAGAACTGCCAATGCTGGAGTCAGAGATAGGGAGCTGGAGGAACACAGCAGGCCAGGCAGCATCAGAGGAACAGAAAAGCTGACGTTTCAGGTCAGGACTCTTCTTCAGAAATTTCTGAAGAAGGGTCCCAACCTGAAACATCAGCTTTCCTGCTCCTCTGATGCTGCCTGGCTTGCTGTGTTCCTCCAGCTCCACACTGTGTTACCATATGAC